AATATTGTGATGATTCATTTAACACTAGTATTGGATCAGCAATCAGAAAAGCTTAGTAAAGGTTGGGTCGGTGCATCAAATACACTGTCACATAATGGTTGTTTTTAATTAGTCCTTTCTCTACATGAACAATCTCTCTCAAGCTCTCTGGACGGACAAACGGAAGTCGTAGATTTGTGACCAGCACGTTTATTCCCCTAATGTGTTAATCGCCGCAAATGCGTATATTGAAATCTAATATTGTTGTACATATACGGAACTCTGAGTCTGATATAATGATTTTGAAACTTAAAATAGCGTTAGCGTCTTATAAAAAGACAAATAAAGGCTAAGAGATAGTAAAGGTTTTCACAGCTGAGCACCGTTAAACGAGCTGCTTGCAATTATGAACTCCACCTAACCAATACAAACATAAAACGCAGAAAATAACCACCAGCAGCCGGCGTAACGTAAAGGTTAAAGGAGAAGCGAATACTCCGATTTAATAGCATTATTATCCTATCCTAAGGTTGGATAGACGGTAAAGTTAGCAAGTTAGCAGCAACAGCATCATGTCAGGATGTATGAAGTTACCTTCAAATCGAGGAGGGCTAACAACAGAAGTGTGTCATTCCTGTTGGTCAAACAATCCAGAAATCCTAAATGTTGATACTGTATTGTTATTGTTATATTTTAAATATTTGTTATTGGAAGCTATGCAATACGGCTAGCTACCTGGTCACGCTTTCGAGGTGCCCGTGTTTCAGGTCGGGACGTTTAAGGAGACGGACACAGATGGACCAATCGAATTCATGGATTTGGGGTTGTCCAATAGAACTTTATAGTTTTGGTGGGTTCCTAACGGCGTCGTGGTAGCGCACAAATAAATTAACGAATAAATACGTTTTTCACATTTTAGAACCAGGGTGTGGTAGCGGCGGTGGGGGCACAGGAGGCATCATGTAAGGGTGGTAGGCATTTTGAGCAGACACCTGCGCCCTTGGAGCGGGACCACCTGCGGAGCCGGGTAAGGGAGGAGGTGGAAAGTTAGGTGGCGGTTCAGGGAAGCCTTGTCGGGTGGGGGGCTTCGAGAAAGGTGGGCGCACCGGGCACTGGTTAAGAGAATTGGAAGTTTGGGATTGAACTGGTGGTGGATACTGCATGAAGTCAGGGTGCGGAGGCATGTAGGGGGCAGTCTGCGAATCGTAACGGTAGGAAGGAACTGGAGGCTGGGGAGGGGGCGGCCTTATGTTGGTGGGTCTGTAGTTCTGGTTGGTACCATGCTGGCCAGGAGGCACTCCTCCCCGGGGACCCCCACGATCCTGATGGAAAGACATGGCTGTGGACAAAAGAAGACAATCGGGTCAACACAACTGGCATCCACGTGCGAATGAGACACATCTGAAAATCAATCGACTGACA